ACACACACACACACACACACACACACACACACACACACACACACACACACACACACACACACTCCCCTTCCTTCCAGCGTTTAGGCTAGGGCCTGGCCCTGCTCCGTCTCGTTGTCTGTTCCCTGTATCACCGGCTTGGCATCAAGTCCCCTGACTCCCCAAGCCCTGGCTCCGATCTCCTCCCAACCTCTTAGACGTGTGGATGCGGACAAGCCCTGCTCTATCAGTTCCAAGTGTTGGTTCACCCCCGAAGCATCACTGGGAAGGGGTGGGGGTCGAGGGGGGGGGGAGGGAGTCTTCAGGTTTGGTCCCTGGCTCCAGATATCTCCCAGCCAGTGCCCACCTTCATACCTAGCCTGACACTTCGCCCATTCTCCCAGACATCCACATCCCTCAGCATCCCCATTCTCCTTGCTCACCCTGGGGCCTCTTCCCCCTGCATCCCTACATCTCCCCGGATCCTCTGGACTTGGCCTGCCTCATCTGCCCAGCCCCGCGGTTCCCGGGTCCTCCTCCACCTCTCCCCTTGCCCGGATCCCTTGTGCCTCTCAGCTCCCCTTCCTGCATCCAACACCCCCCTTCCCAACCAAGTCCCCCCAGTTTCCCCATTTCCCCCGTACCTGGCCTGCCAGGCGCCGGCCCCCCCATGCCGGGCGGAGCCCGGAGCAGGAGGAGGAGGAAGGAGGGAGGAAGGGAGAGAGAGACAGAGAGATCAGGGGGGAGCGCAGCTCGGGCCTGCCGCAGAGACAGCCCCGCCTCCGGGTCCGCCCCCCAGACCCGCCCCTGGCCCTCAAACCCACCCCTCCACGCGGGTCAGGGAAGCAGGGGAAGAGCTAGAGAGCTGAAGACACCCACGGCGCCAGGGGAGACTGAGGCACGGAGGCTCTGACCGAGAATAAATGGGGAAAGGATGAAAGATGCAGAGAAGAGGAGCTCTCGGACTGCTAGAGGTGGGAGCCCCGCAGCCGCAGCCGCAGCCGCCGCCGCCGCCGCCGGGGGCTGCTGCCGTGCCACCTCTCCTCCACGGTCTCAGCCTGACCCTGCTCCTCCGCCGACGCGGGAGCCTAAGTTTCTGGTCCTAAACCGCGACCACCTTCTGCTGCGGCTCGGGCGCCCCAGTGCGCCTTGCCCGAGGGGGCCCCCTCGTGGCCGCGCGAGGATCTGCAGCCACCGGCCCAGCCCTCTTCACTCCTTGTCTATTTCACAGCACAATCCTGCTACGGGAGCTGCCAGAAACCAGAGTGTGTTGGCACTAGAAGGGAGGATGTAAGCTCACTTAGGGGATCTCTGGGCCCAGTTGACTCCTCTGTAAAGGAAGGGGTTTGGACAAGGTGTTTTTAAGGCTCTTTCTGGCTCTAACATTCTGCGGTTTTGAGCTGGGGATCTTGAAAGTTTCAGGGCGCCTGCCCCCCAAGGCAGTACAGCTGGGGGTGGGGTGGTGTAATTAGATTGAGAGACCAGTAGGGGTAAGCAGGCTTATTTTCAGAGAGACAAAAGAGACCGGCAGCAAGACAGACAGATGGCAATACAAGTAGACAAAGACACCTCTCCAGCAGGAGGGGCTGTTCACCTTCTTGGTCTAAAGATGAGGGAGCTGGGAAGAGCCGAGTTCATCCTTAGCCCATCGACTTTTCTTTCATCCTGTACCTGGCTTCCTAAAAACCTGGACCTTGCTTCTCTGTAAGTGTTCAAAGTAACCCCCCTCTGTACTCCTGAATAGCTAGGCCACCCTCCTCTTTATCCTTGACTTTCACTAGCCTCTAATTGTAGGAATTGTGGAAGTATTGCTTTGGGGTCAAGTAAATGGTCCCTGCTAATTTTAATTACCGCTAACAGTAGCATGACTGGCTTAACACATAGTCAGTGTCTGTCTCTATAAAGTAAATTCCAACACCTATTTACCTCCCCAATCCCTACTCTCACCCAACTTCTAGGAATCTGAGATCCCACAATTGGGGATTTATTCTTTTGGCTTTAGGTTTTATCTTCTGTTAAAATACCCTTGGGACAATGAAGTTCCCAGAGAGGAGATTAAACCTATCTCTTCTCTCACAGGTGAGGTACTACCAGGACAGAGTATTGTATATATTCTCAGATAAAGTTTCTGTATCATTGTTTTCCTTCATTGTTTCTCTTTGTCACAAGAGAGGGTTTAGTGGGGTTGGGGGGGATAACTGTGATGTAAAGACATAAATCATCAATAAAATGTTTTTGAAATAATCATAAAATATCCCTGGAAGAGGTAATACTATTATAATAGTACTGTAATAGAATATAAGCTTTTTGAGAACAGGATCTGTTATGTTTTTGGTCTTTGTTTCCGCAGTGCCCAGAAGTAGGCACTTTAATAAATGTTGAATTGGATGAGTTTGCAAACTGAAAATCGATGATGGAGAGTAGGGCAGAGAATCCCAGGATTCCAAGTGATTTTTTTCTTACTTTGCTATTGTTTCTAGGACCAGTTACAATCATAATTATCCAAAAGCATTTCCTGAAAAAATTTGACTTTATTTGAATTTATGCCTTTATGAAAGATACTGAGCAGAGTGCTTAAATACTGTGACTGCATGCAGGGAATACTGTAGGTGTGGTGGGAAGAGTACTGTGCCAAAGAGAGGAGTAATTGACACTATGGGAGGCATATAACAGTTGTAGGATATATAGAGTAGGTTCTGCGGGGGCCTTGCTTCCAGGGCCTTGAAGGTGAAGAGAAGAAGACAAGCCAGAGTCCAGATTTCTTTTAGCAGACAAAAACATATAAATGTATGTGTGTGTATAAACTATCATAATATATTACATATCATTTGTTCAGTTACTCTTATTCTTTGTGACCCTATTTGGGGTTTTCCTGGCAAAGATACTGGAATGTTTGCCATTTCCTTCTCCAGCTTATTTTACAGATCAGGAACTGAGGGAATACAGGTAAGTGACTTGCCCAGGGTCATGTAGTTAGTTAAGTGTCTGAGGCCAGATTTGAACTCAGAAAGATGAGTTCCTGACTTCAGGCCCAGAACTCTATCTACTGTGCTACCTAGCTGCCCTAGTAGTGATAGTATTTGTGATACAATATTTTATATATATGTGGAATATTATATATAATTATATATAGAAATTATACATTTCTAATATATATGCATATATATATATACAATATTAGAAATTCTGTCAGGAATTTAAAGGGGAAAGTTCACAGGGTCATAGCTATTAAACTGAAAGGAATCTTAGAGGTTATTGAGACCAACCCCCTCATTTTACAGTTGAAGAAACTGAGGCCCAGAGAGGTGAAGTGATTTGCCTAAGGTTATATGACTAATAAGTATGTGAGGTAGGATTTGAACTCAGTTCTTCCTTGATAGGATTTGTCTAGGAAGGACTAGAAGTCACTCCAAAGATCAGTCGATTGACTGATAAATCAATATTTATTAAGTGTGCCAAGCACTATGCTAAGCCCTGGGGATACAAAAAGAGGCTAAAGATAGTTCCTGCCCTCAAGGAGCTCACAATCTAATGGGGGAGGAAAATGTCCCCCCAAAAAGAAGGGATAGTAACTTCCCTTGAACAGGAAAGTGAAAGAATACTTAAAACTACCATCCTCTGGATATCTTGAGGGGGAGAGAGGTGAGGGGAGGGCAGGGAGTACAATACGGAAATTACAAAGTATGCTTTGGGACATTTTTGCTGTCCAAAAGTGGAACAGTCTGTTTTACTAGTTGTGTGACCATGGCCAAATGAATTAATCTTCTTGAGCCCCAGTTTCCTTATCTGTAAAATGGGATTAATAATACCTGTAATACTTATCTCACAGAGTTGTCAAGAGAATGCTTTTACAAACCTTGAAGTCATATATAAAAGCTAACAACTATCATGGAGTATCTTTAAATGGCAATGCATTTGCTAGAATGGAAGTTCTCGATGAGGCATGGGTGGGAGTAGACCTCTGAGGTCCTTTCTGATTCTGAGAATTTAGGAATCTATGAAATCCCTTTATGCTAAATGGTCCATCTTTGAATTTGTTTGGGAGGGGTGGGGTGGTAGGGTCATGAAATGAGAAAATAGGAATCTGGACTCTTTCTAAGAGAAGCTGTGTGCATATCTGTATACAGTTGTGTTCCTGCAGATATATATGTGTATGTGTATGTATACATACATGTGTATACATATATATGTATGTATGAGTACCTGTGAGGGCATCTGTATGAATATCTTTGTTTACCTATTCATATTTCTACAAATGTGCTCGGAGTCCAAAATACATACATATATATATATACACACACACACATTCATACATATATATGTACGTATATAAATGTCCTTCTCTATATCAGTTCATGTATGTGAACATTATCTGTATCCCTGTGTAATTGTAAGGGAATCGATCTTTCTTCAAACCCAATCCTTACTCCCTAAAGTCCCGGGAAGAGCTAGGCAGGTGTGGGGTTATGAGAACCCTAGTGTCTGGGGCTCCCTCTATCAGCAGCAGTAGTTCTGGAGTAGGGCCAGCTGGCAGAGAGACGCTGGAGGAGGGCGGGCAGGCGGGAGAGAGAGTGAGAGGAAGAAGGGAAGGAGGAGGAGTAGAACAGCAGTCAGCAGGGCTGAGGAGGCAGGACTTCCTGGTGTGGGGGTTGTCAACAGCTCAGAGAGAGAGAGAGAGAGAGAGAGAGAGAGAGAGAGAGAGAGAAAGAGAGACAGAGACAGAGAGGAACTAGGAAAACTGAAAAAAAAGGACGAGAGTTGAAGACAGAAGAGGTGGAGACAGACACATGCTCGAAGAGAGAGAGAGAGAGAGAGGGAGACAGAGAGAGACAGAGAGAGAGATCGCTCCGCTGTCAGAAGGGAAAAGATTCCAGAGAGAGTAGCCCTCGGCTTCTCTCCGACCAGCTGTGCTTTCAGACCTAAAGGCCCTTCACCACCATAAAGGCCATATTCCTCTGGGACTGAGAGCAGTGTTTATTATTTTTTGGAAAACAAAGTTGCTGTGGAGATGACTTGTGGGTCAAGGAGAGGCCTCTACGGACTGTGTTGCCTCTGACCACCACCCACCTCCTCCTTTTTCTTGGAGCTTAGGCTGGGAGGCCCCACTCTCCTGCTCTCCTGTGGACAGTCTGTTGGGGCATCTTATGCTGCCAGGATCCCCAGGTCAGGTCTCTTGGTGTTCTGGGGGAGATGTAGAGGTGGGGTTGTAGGGTTGTGTGTGTGCTCAACAGGGGTAGTTGTGGTTGAGGAGAAGAGTTTAAGTTTCAGCCCTCCATAGATTCTGAAATGGGTGGTGGTAAAACTCAAGGGAAGCTCTCCTTTCCCCTCCACCCCAAGGTAGGCTAGGGTGTGAAAGCCCATGCCAGGCCAGGGCTGTGAAGTGGTGAGCTCACCTCCCTTTCCTGTAGACCCAGATTCCTTGCTGCATCTCACACTTGGGACTCAGCTTATCTCTTTCTGCACAGTGCCTATGTGTACCGATAATAACCAATGTAATCTGTTTTTCTGCCTTTACCTCTTTCAGCTTTGTCTCTACCTCATTCTGTCTTTTTTTCTTTTCTACCTCTTGTGGTTCCTCTATCTCTCTGGTGGTTTCCCTCTTTTCTCCCCCACCCCGATCTCCACTGCTCTCCCCACAGAGGAAGCACCCAAAGTGTCTTACTCCCCCAACACCCACTCCCTCCCCAATGACTCTAATTTTTTTCCTCCTAGTTTGCAAATTCAGCTCTGGAGTCCAAGAGTGGCAGAAGCAGCAGCAACAGCAGCAGCAGCAGCAGCAGCAGCAGCAGCACTGGCAGCAGCAGCAGAAGGAAAGCCTGCCCGTACTCCAGCTCCCACAACTTCTCTCCCTGTTATTCCTCAATTTCAGAGGCAGCCCCAGTTCCTTGGACTCTCCCAGCTATGTTGGACCCTGATGTTCCCAGGGGCCCTGATCCCACAGCTATATGGCCCCCTAGTGCCAGGGGAGCCTGAGTGCTGCCTGGAGAGAGGCCTCTCCTCTACGTGTAGCCCCTGTCCCATTTCCTAGGGACCATGAGTGGGGGTAAGAAGAAGAGCAGTTTCCAGATCACCAGTGTCACCACAGACTATGAAGGTCCTGGGGGATCTGGGGGTGGTGACTCCCCTACAGCTCTGGTTTCCACCTTACCCACACCTCGTCTTCCCAATGGGGAGCCTAGCTCAGAGCTGGGAGGCAAAGGGACCCCTCGAAACGGCTCCCCACCCCCTGGGGCCCCAGCATCACGTTTCCGGGTAGTGAAGCTTCCCCAGGGACTAGGGGAACCGTATCGCCGGGGGCGATGGACATGTGTGGACATTTATGAGAGGGACCTGGAAGCCCCAGGACTCAGCCGGCTCCTGGAGGGAGTTCGGGGAGCCACTGGAGGGACTGGGGGTCGCTCTTTGGACTCTAGGCTAGAGTTGTCCAGTTTGGGCCTGGTTCCCCCAAACCCCCAGCCTCAGGGCCCAACCAACTGGCTTCGCCCACCCCCAACTTCCCCTGGTCTTCAGGCCCGATCTTTCACTGGGGGGCTAGCTCAGCTGGCCGGAGGCAAAGGGAGGGCTGAAACTCCACCTCTTCCAGCTTCCCCACCCCAGCAGCACCCCCCGGAGCCCAGTGATGGAGACAGTACAGGGGTACTGGCACCACATGCCTCAACCCAGCTGCCTACCCTTCGGGTAGAGGCAGAGGTGGGAGCCCCAGCAATGACACCTCCAATCACCCGAAAGAAGGATGGAGCCCCTTGGCTGAGGAAAGAGGGGGAGGAAAGAGGCCAGGTAAGAGGCAAGGGTGGGAGGGGTGCACAAAAAGGGGATCTCTCTGTAATATAATTATCCTCTTTGGACTTGTGTTAATCTCCTGCCTTGTGTCTCACTTCCATTCTGGGCTCCAGTTTCCCCTCTTTATTCTGTCACTGGTTCTGTCTCTCTCTCCCCTCAGTTTCTCTTCTTTCTTTTTTTGTACCTCAACCCTCCCATCCTTATATTTGACTCTTTCATCGTGTAACTCTAATCCCTATTACTTCTCTGGGAACCTCAGTTTCCATCCCTCCTCTCGACTTCATTTCTCCCTCTTTTGCTCTCTTCCCCTTCCCTCCCTCTCTTAACTCAGTTTCTTTCTCGTTTTTATTTCAGTGTTGTGTGTCTTTTTTTTCCTCTCTGTATCTTTCTCTGTTTCTCCATCTGTTCTTCCCTTTCTGAGTTATATAATTTTCTCTGGATAAAAGTTTCAGAAATGGAGTGGATTGGGTGAGAACACTAGTCTCCGTAGGGGAGGGTGCAAGGGATCTGATCATGGAGTTGCCTAAGAGTTCTTTTGAGGGGTATTTGGTGGGGGGAGACATAGCTTCCTTCACTCAACCACCCTGTGATTTCCATGTCCTTCTGGCTTCTTCCTTCCCTAGTAAAGTTAGGCCATTTCTGTTCTCTCAGTTCCAGGACCTTTCCCCCCCTAGCCCCCAGACCAAGGTTTTCCTCCCATTGGAATCTCTAGAATTGGGAGGGAGGGTGTTTTCAGGGGCCTGCAATGCCACAGGCACAGCTCCCAGATCTCTTTTCAACCCTGCCCTAGCCTTCCAAAGACTGTTATTATTTTTGGTGAGGGTGGAACAAAGGGGAAGAGGGCTAGAGGAACAAGGTGAGAAAAGTGAAATTGTGTATGGTTTTTCAGTTTCCAAAAGAGGAACAGATCAGGTCTGGAGGACAGGATGCCTGGGTCCCTGGAGGACCCTGTTGGAGGTCAGGGGCTAGGACACCTGAATCCCTGGTTAGGGAGCAGGGCTGGGGAGGCAGGACAACTCAAGACCTTGGAGAAAGGGAGGTTTGTGGGAAAATGAAGATGAGGCCTTTTCCCCCTTCCAGGCCCCTGAGCACAAACCACTGTATAAAAATAACCTGAGACTGAATGTCTGGGCCCTGCCGGGACTGGCCAGGACTGGCTTACCTTCTCCCCCCCTCCCCCCCAACCCCCACAGCCACACGTACACAGGTCTTTCACCACCACTACCACCCCTTACTTTCTTTCAGTTGGTTCACTCAGCTACCTACTTCTGGGGGTGGAGGCTCTGTTTCTACGCTTTAATCCCTTCCCCCTAGACTCTCTCTCTTTCCAATGCTCCTAGCCTCTGTGTCGTTTAAAGCCCGCCTCGCTCGAGTTTTCCACTATATTCAGTCCTTGCTTCTCTTCTCCCCTCCCCTCTCCTTCCATAATTCCCCAAACTTTATTTATTTAAAGCAACAACAACCTTCTGGCTCCTTTCTTTCAGTAGATACGCCTTTGTATCTTTGTCTCTCTTACCATCCTCTTTCCCTGTACCTTCACAGTGGGGGGTGGGGGGGTGGGGAGAGGGGAAAAGATGGAGAGCAGACAGAAAGGACTTGGAGGCCTCCGTGTCTCTGCCCTGTCCTTCTGGCAGTCCCTGGATTCTCTGTTCTTAAGTTTTCCTAGAAGCAGGGGCCTCCTGGGGCCTCACAGAAGGAGGTTTGTTTCTTGTCCTCCCCCACTCCCCATTGCATCCACCCTCTACAGCTCCACACCCATTCTCCACCTCCTCCCAACCTCCCAGTAACTGGTGGAAAAGGAAGCAGAACACCTGGGTCTTGAGGCAGGAGCAGTGGTTTAGTGGGGATGGGAGCTGTGAGGACACCATCCTGTGGACCAGTAATGGCAGCTTGGGGGAGGTGTGGGGGAATGATGTAGGCACCCTCCCCAGAACTCATTTTCTGCCTAGATTTCTCTGGCAACTAGTTGATGCTTGAGCACATACTGAGGATTCTATCTCTGATGAGGTGGTTGAAGATGATGAAGGTGGTACAGATACAAAAGCCTCTTTTAGCCACTGCCCTCCCACCCCCACCCAAACTGGGGTTATCTGAACTGAGCACTTTATGGCCTTGTGACCACAGAACACATCCGATGGGTCACTTGGGCATTACTTGTGGTCACAGGTCACTTGGGTCACAGGGAGAAAGGTGAGCTAGAGCAGAAGAGAGGAAAGGTGACAGAGCCAAAAGACTAGGTGTGATTTAGGAATGTGTGTGTGTGTGTGTGTGTGTGTGTGTATATGTATGTGTGTGTGTGTGTGTGTGTGTGTGTTTTCCTCTTTCTAGCTCCCTCTCCGAGGCTCCCGTCCTGGCTCTCCAGCCCTCTCCCTCCTTCAGGATAGCAGTCCCAACCGGAAATCCTCAGACCCCTTTGGAGCCTCTGCTCAACGCCTGAATCTGGCTCGATCTATGCTAGCCATTGGTAGCCCCCTTGACGGTGATGATGACAGGTAGGAGGGACTTCCTTTTGAACTGGCTTGATGGAGGGGCTTTTTTTTTTTTTTTAAAAGAACTGGGACACATGAATTAAACTTTCTATTTTTTTTTTTGCTGGGGGGTGGGGTGGGGTTGGGGTATGGGGGAAGGAAAAGGGAACACAATTTCCTGTTTTGAAAGGATTGGGGGTGGGAAGGTGACTTGTGTCTGAAAAATATGAACTAACAAACCCACCCTCACCCTCAATGAAAGGAGCAGGTGAGAAGATGACTTGGGTCGTTAAAGTGTGAAATAACTGAACAAAATGCACCCTTACCCTCAGTAAAAGAGGTGGCTTGTGACTGAAAAGCATGAACTAACTGAACAAGCACACCCTCACTCTCACCCTCAGTGAAGTGGGTAGGGGGGTGATTCTGGTTTGGTGGAAGCAGCTTGTTTTTTATTCTAACCTGAAAACCTCATGTCCGAGCCAGGGAAGAGGACAGGGAGTTACACCAAATTCTCTCTGCCACCAAGCAGAGAAATGGGGCTTCCTGCTTAGCTCCCTAGACCTGGGGAGCACCTTCTCAGTCCTGTTGCTTAGGGATAGCTTTGATTGTGGTCTCATCCCCTGGCGACAGTGAACCGGCTCCCTTCTTCATGGTCATGCTGTGGGGGAGGATTGTTGACATGTAGATGGATGGGCAGGACTTCCTTTAGGGGAGAATGGCCTGTTTAGAGGCAGGAAGGAGGGCAAAACTTCCTGTTTCAGGGGCCAGATTTCAACATTTGAGTGTCAGCAACCCCTAGTGGGAGGTAGCAAAATAAAGAGAGACTGACTACTGGGCAGCTTGATTTTTGTCTGTGGCTGGATTGGGGCAAGGTAGCAAAAAACAGAGTTGACACTTTTTGTTTCATTTGGTAGATGGAGTGGGTATTCCTGTTTTAGTGCTATTTCAGGGAGAAGGATTTACTTGTCTGGAAGGTGATAAGGAATAGGATTTCCAGAGTCAGGTAATAGGTGCTAGGAGTGAGGTGTTTTGAGTAGGATTCCTAGGGGCCACACCCTCCTCTTTAGGTCTCTTCTTTCCAGCCTCAGGGACAGAGCCCTAGGGAATGAAGATTGTGGAGAGGATAATAAAGTAGGGGAATAGTAGATAAATAAAATAAGCTTGGTCTGTGGAAGGGATCTTAGGATGTGGGACAGAAAGATATGAGGAAAGAGGGAGAAGGGGAGGAAGGGCCTGCCAGGCAAGGCTGAACAGAGCAGCTGTGGGTTCAGGAATGTATGAGGTGTGAGGCCTGACACCACATGGCAAGTCACTTGCTCCTATCATGGTAACTTGTTGCTTCCCACCCCCTTCCTTTTGGCAGGCTCCCTGGCAAGAACAGGCCTCGCTCCCAAGTTCTCTGCTCGGCTCTGTGTTCCTCTCTGACCTTCAGTTCCTTAGTCCTCTTTACATTTCTGTCTCTGTCTTTCCATCTGTCTGTCTCCATTTCAGCTTCTGCAGCCAATAATCTTTCATGGAGTTACATTCTCTCAGCTCTTCCCTTCCCACTCCCTCCACCCTAGTCTGACTGGTTGGTTTTCCCAGTCTCAGCTTTATCCAGTTCTGCTCCGAGGCCCTGGCCCTGCCTGGCTTCTTTTGCCCCGCCTTTCTGGGCCAGCTGGTTTTGGTTGAGTCCCCCTGGCTCAGGAATGGGGTGTGTGGGCCTCACCCCACCTCTTTGCGCCTGGGAAGAGCTGGGGGACACATTGCCTGAGTCCTTCCTAAAAGGAAAACTTGGACCAGAGAGCCAGGGTGCTTGGGTAAGGTAATGGTGAGCTGGGAGGGAGAGCTGGGTTAGAAAGAGCCTGGGTCCTTTGTGGGGAGTCGGGCTTGACATGGTTAAGGTGGAGGCTGAAAGGGCTGGATCTCAGATTGGGAAAAGGAATCGGAGCCCAGGAGGCAGGATGCCTAGGCCTGAGAGGGGATGAGGACATAGGAGTTCCTAGTTTTCCTTTTCTCTCCAGGGTAGAAGCAAGAACACCCTTTTTTCCCTAGTCAGGGCAAGGAACCAGTTCTTTGCCCTCCCCTTGCCTTGCACCACCGTGAAGGCAGCATAGATCCGGGAGAGCAGAGAAGGTTGGATACCAGTTGGCTGGCAAAAGGCCCAGACCCTGGGGGCTGCTCAGAACACTGAGTGGGGAGGAGCCCTGCTATCTCTCCTCTCTTTCTGCTTCCGTTTGTCCCTAGTATCTGCTCTCCCTGCCCTGCCTTCTCTTTCCTCACCCCTCTGATCCCTAGGTCTCTTATATTTGTCTTTCTAAACCTCTGTGTGGTAAGGCCTTCCTCCCTAAGCAGGACTTCTTTAGCTCTCCTACAGTGAAGGAGAGCATGGTGTAGTAGAAAGAGGGCTGGTTCTGAAGTCCGAGGACCTGCATTCAAATCCTGACTCTTATTAGTCATATGACACCTCTCAACTTGTCTCCTCTTCTGTAAAATGGGAGTTCTGTAAAATAATAGTATCTGCCTTACAGGGTTGTTGTAAAGATTTGTAAACCTTAAAATGTTATGTAAATGTGAGCTATTCTTATTGCTACCATTATGACCTTGGCCAAGTCACTTAATCTCTGTGGGCCTCAAGTCCCTCTCATCTGTAAAATGACAGAACTGTACTAGATGCTCTCCAAGGGCCTTTCTAGATCTGACTCTATGATCCCATGACTCTGGTATCCTGCCTAACAGGCCTGGGCTGTTTTTACTAGAGCCCCCTTATCATGACTCCCTTTCCCAGGAATCCTAACTGTCCTTGACACCCCCCCCCCACACACACATACACACTATATCCTCAAGCCTGCCTCTTGGGACATAGACTTTTTCTTTTTTTCTTTTTTCTTTTTAGGCAGTTGGGGTTAAGTGACTTGCCCAGGGTCGAACAGCTAGTAAGTGTTATGTGTCTGTGGTCATATTTGAACTCAGATCCTCCTGACTTCAGTGCTCTATCCACTGCGCCATCTAGCTGCCCCGGACATAGACTTTTAACTATGGTTCTCAAGAGTGTGGTCCATGGATTATTAGTGGGTCTACAGGGATATTGGGCACAAAACTAAGCAAGACTGGATCCCCTGTTCCTATCTCTCTCCTTGAATTTGCATCTATTATCTGCTCCTGTTCTTCCTCTCCTTCTCCCCACCTCCAGCCCCACCCCCCCATCCCCCCCACGCTTAGATGAGAGGTCCTGACCATTTCCATACCAGGAAGGCTATTCTTAAGAATGTCTTTTAGGCAAATCACTGGCTGATCCCTTGCTTTATTCATATTTTATAATTAGGCAAAGCACTTCAAAAAATATAAAGTAATGCACAGGTACTTTTTATAGCATGAATTAATAATTTAGAAGCCTGGTTGATGTGTCTTCAAAAACACTGGCCAGCCTGCTTGTTAATTTTCTACATTTTTAGGGGAGGGGTGGCATTGCCAGTAGGGGTAAGTATTTAGTAAGGGATTATTGCCAGTAGGGTTAAGTATTTAGTAAGGGGTTATTTTGCTCCATCTTTGTGTTCTTGGGATTAGAAAGATTTGAAAACTGCTCCTGTAGTTTACCCACCTCCAGTCTTTCTCCTCCTCCTTAGTCCTGTTCTTTGAGGCCACGCTGCTCCCTTGGTTACACCCCACCCCCAGCTGGGCAGCACCTTCTGCACCCAGAGCCCTGGATAGGAAATGGAAAATACCCAGCGCTCTCCAGCTTTCTTCCCAGCCCCAGGGCTCGTCAGAGGTCACCTTGATAGTCCTGGTCCCCTATGGAGATGAACCTAGTAGCTACTTGGCAGCCGAGGGACTGAGGGAACAAAAAGCTGTTGCTACAGGCTCCTGAGAGTGCTAGGGGGGAAAGTAGAGGTGGGGTGGGGAGAGAAGGGGCTGGCCATACTCTGTGTCTTGGGAGAGCTAAGAGAGCATGAGATGGGGGAGGTCAGCAAAAATGAAAGGGAGGTGGAGCCAGAGGCTGAGGACAGCGCTCCTGTGTGCTGGAATTGAGTCTAGGGAGTGGTGTCTTGGAAAGGGTTTGTGGATGGGGGAGAGGACAGATTTGGGTTGGGGAGATGACAGAGTTTAGGGTAGAATGCCTCAGTCCTAAAAACAGAGAAGAATCTGTGGATGGATGAGAGGAGAGTTTAGGGGGCTGCCATGGCAAGATAAGTGAGTCCTAGAAGAGGAACTGGGATCTGAAGAAGAGACAGAGTCTGGGAGACATGATGATTGGGTTCCAAAAGGGTTAGGGTTAAGAAATCAAGAAGACTTCCCTCAGTTAACTGGGGCCTTAGAGATCCCCAGATTTCCTCACTGCTTATTGGATCTGTTGGAGGCTGGCCTGACTCCTGGTGTTCGCTCATTAAATAGCAGCCGAGGACCACAGCTCTGTAAGGCATCCTGACCATACTGTACCATCTTCTTCATCTAAAAAGTCCCCTGTTTCTCTCTCAGGACCAGGCATTCATATACCTCAGTTTTAGCTTCTCTCTTGAGACTCACATCCCCTGTAAAGGCTTTGGTTCTATTTTTGTCGCCATGGAAATACTCTATGCCTCCTGCACCATGGTTAGGCAGCCCTTACTGGGCCTGAACTGTTGCTCACATAGCTGTGTTTACATCCATCGAGGACCTAGAAGAAGGTCAGAGGAAGCCCCGGGAGAGGGGAAGCAATGAGGCATCTGAACCTGAGAGAGAACTCCTCTATTCCTGAGGCTTTTCCCAGTTCTCTCTCTCCCCCCTTCCCCAACCTTGGGAATTTTATCCTCTGAGTTCTTCAGAGATATGAGGGGTATTAAAGCATTGAGACAGGACAGGGACACTTTCTTGGTTAGGGCCATAGGATGTCATGGTGAGGAGAGAATCTAGGCATCTTGTCCCCACAGTCTTCAACCCTCTTCCGGGGATCCAGGCAATAGCCCCTCCCAGAACCTAGGCAAGAGGTCTGGCTTTCCCCAGCTCCACCCACCTATCTCCTGGCTTCTGGGATCACTGCCAGGGTGAGCAGGGGACACTGGTATTGTCCAGCATCTGGGAATTCCCACCCCCAGCTGGGTCTGGCCCTGGGAGATGAGCCCCCGCCCACTGTGGAGCTTTGGGAAAGGGAGGGGAGATCCTCGTGTCTCTAAGGAGCCAATAGCAGCTAGACCTACCCCTGGGGGGAGGTGTATATCTTTCAGTTCATCCCCAAAGGCACCCGTCTCCTCTCTGCTTGCCTGGCACCAGACAGACCTGGATTTGCCTGGGGGGCTCTGAGGCCCCCCAGGCACTCTGCTGATATAGTCCTCTACCTTTCAGTGGGGCCTAGAGCTCTCCCTTTCCCTCCAGAAGATGGCCCATCCAGGAGTCTCTGTTAAGTCTCTGGTATCATCCTATGAGACTCGAGTAGGAAGGTTGGCCCCCCGCCTCCCCCAGAGAAGGGGCTGTGTTTCGTCCCCTTGCTCCCCCCGGGGGGCATCCCCCATCCGAGGTGTCCCTGGACCTCCACCCCATCGGGGCCTAGGAGGACCGGGGCATCGGCCATCACCTCGAAAGGGGGTGGATAAAACACTTCTCTCCCTGATTCTCTACTGTCACAGGTACCTGGGGACTGGGTAGGGAGTGGGGAGGTTGGGATATGGAAGCAAATTCCTGGGGGAGTTGGAAGTTAGTATCCTGAGTTCTTGGATTTTGGGAGGGCCAAAAGGTAAAAACTTAGTCACTGGGGAACTGGAAACCTGAGAGCTAGGGTGTTTGAACGTTGGGAGAGCAATGGAACCTGGATGGAGAAGCCCAGAGTCTGTTTTTTTGGTCCTAAGAAAGGGCTGCAGGGTGGGGAGTGAGGGGAGAGGGGGATGAGGCATGGAACTAAGGAGGTTGGTTAATTCATTACTAAGTGGGAAAGGGACAAATAGGAGAACAGATAACTGGGGAACAGGACTTATGTAGTCTTGTAAATTGAACTAAGGTTGGTGGAGAAAGCCAATTGCTAAGGGGCCTCAACACCTGGATCCAGGGTGTTTCATTTCCTGACTCTTACCTCCCCACCTTACAATCTCTGTGGTCTCTCTCTAGTGGCTCTGGAAGCATGGTTGCCATTGACAACAAGATTGAACAAGCCATGGTAAGGGCATTGATTTTATTCTGAGGAATATCATAGTTCATCTGTTCCTTAGCTCCTGGTGTCCTGCTCCGTTTCTTTCCCCCAGTTCTCTGTTTCTGTTCTTAGTTCAGACCCCATTCCCTGTCCCTAGTCCCTGTACCATTGTCCCTGTTCCCAATCCCAGACTGTCTTGTCATCTGTCCTTTCCTTCCTCTCCAGTTCCCAACTCCCTGTTGCTGTCCTTGATCTTAGATTTCTATCATTGCTCCCATTTCCTGGACCTGATACCTGAGTCCTTGCCCTCCCTTCTTTTTCCTGTGT